TTGGAGAAATATCTGCACAAATATGGTGTGGCACTTGATGCTGCTATTCGTGATATGATTGCAGTGCACCTCTTGTCATTGGAAGAACAGTTCTCAGATTTGTTTCCAGTTGAGACCACACCAGAGTGGATCAGGAACCCCTTTACTGTTGATGTTGTAAGAATACCCAGGCATCTGAACTGTGCTGAACAAGAGAAGTTGCTCGAGTTACCATCAGCTGCGACATTGATGTCAGAATTGAAAAGACAGTCACTGTTGGATTTCAGGATCCAAAGACAGAGTAAATACCCAGCCCTCTCATTAAAGGCTGTGCGTTTTTTTTATGCCTTTTGCTACTACCTACCTTTGTGAGAAAGGCTTCACTTCTCTCACTGCAATCAAGACATAGCACCGAAACAAAATGGATGCTGAGCCAGATCTGCATTTGAAACTCACTGCCCTCGTCCCTGACATTGCAAGGCTTTGCTCAGGTACAGGCTCACCTCTCTCACTGAAATGCTGTGCTCAGTGCTATTTTTATTATATGTGTGAGTGGAGTGTGCGTGTGCACATACTTATGTTGGTCATTGAGATTTTCTTTGGTTCCTATGAGAAGATGACTTGTAGGTGGTACTTTGATGCTTTGGATTGATCAGGGGTGGTACTTGGAGAAAACATTTGAGAACCACTATAAAAGTTTCTTTCAATAATACAATAGCAAAATACACAAAAAATAAGAAATATGTATCCATAACAAAAATGAAAAAACTCTGGACAATGAAAGAGAAATGGTTGATGTTATAAAAGAGTGGTTCATGTCACGAAGCATTTTTCAGGACCCTATGCAGATAGCACAATCCGGAAGGGAGTGAGAAAACATGGGGCAAAAGACTAGGTTAGAGGCTGGAAGAAGAACAGGGGGCGTGGACCCAGATGGTCAGGACGCCATTGTGAAGCCTGTGCCGTCAAGTTGCTCCTGGACTCACAGGTAGGCAAGCTTCCTGGCATCCATCTTCCAAAGCTGAGCTCAGATTGGCAATAACATCTGGCTTTTATAGCACAGGGGCAGGAACCGAAGGCAGGTGCAGGAGATTATGAATAAAACAAGGAAGGGCTGGAGCATCCTTAAGAGGAGGGGTTTATGATTGTGACACTTCAGGTGTTGAGGATTTGGGAAAATTATAACTGACAATGCTGCTGTGGAGAGTGACATGAAAAAAGATTGCTGTCTGGCAAAACTCCACTTAGAGCAAAATGCAAAAGATAAATCTGAGGAAAAAAAAACTTAGAATATTGTAGATCTGTAGATATCAAACAGAGGGCTAACAATGAACAGGTTGATGATGGGGCAGATGAGTACTGAGAGAAAGTACTTATCAAGGTCCACAAAAAGGACAGGAATGGGTAGAAAGAGTCCAGGGAAGCATGAGTGGAAAGGAGTAAAAGTTATTTAAATTATAAATGGTTTTAAGCTGCAAACTAAGTAAAGCAACTCTAGCTTTAATTTTGATCTGTGATAGTTACGGTGACTGTAAAAAGGTCAGCCGTGACAAGAATTTAATGCAGGTGTGATCCCTGAGTTAGACAATAGACAGGAGAAGGATGTAAGATTTTAATTTAGAGTTTGTGACAAAAGGAGGAGCAGTTTCAGGTGTCATTTCTAAGCATTATAATATGTTAATTTTAGGACTTGAAGAAAAATGTTCACTTAGGGTACTTATCAAAACAGTTCCTTAGACTGAAGAAACAGTGATTAAAAACGCTTTCTTCCTGTTTGCTTTTCACTTTATTTGTTTTTCTGTTTCTCTATATATTTTCAATGTAATATTTCCTCAGAAAGAGGACTGCTTTTTGATTGCTGCAAAAGAAAATAAGTGATTAAAGAATCTCTTAGCTTAATGAAATTCTAAACATGATGATACAAGGCAAAGAATATAAGAGATACCATGCTTGATACTTTGGTGTTCAATCACCTGGCAAAGAAATCCCCAACCTCCAAAACACTAACACTTTGTTGTACTCAAATCTAAGAGAAAGTCGCTTCAGCTGGAAAGTTTCACAGGAGCCAATTGGAGAATGGATTAATGAAAAACATGTACTGTATGCAGGTGAAGGTGATGAAATAGAATGGAACAAGTCAACAAATAGCAGTGCAGCCACCAAATCCTTGGATCTTGGATCTCGGATCTAGGATCTCAGAGCTCGGAGCTCTGTGGTGGGAGGCAGAAGACACTGCAGTGACCCAGAATTAGTAGTCTGAGATGAACAGTACAGACATGGTAATAAGAAAAGAATGGGTAGTGAGCTACTGCTTGCTGAAATTTGTTAGCACTGAATGGAAGAGGAGGGATTTGAAGCAGAACCCAACCAAGAAGAAGAATTATCAGCACCATTTGCAGGTGGAGCCTTAGGAATGGGAATGAGAAGAGGTTCAAAAGGGTATCAGTTGACCATCTAGATGCCAACACCAAGAGAAGGGGCTAAATGGTGGGTGGGTAGGGTATTCATTACTGTCGCAACCAGGGCCATGGTCACCATGGACAGCAAGGACTGTGATGCCATGTGCTGCACTCTCAGGGCAAAGTGAGTGTCATTGACCAGGAGCACTGACGGGTCCAGAGAAAAGTGAGGAGTGGGGAAAGGACAGACATGAAACATCTAATATAGGTATGGGCTATAGATGCAGTGGGGTGGACTCTCAAGCATAATGGTAGAGAGGAAGGGATGGGATATTGTAAGAAGGATTTGGAACAGAGAGAACTGGGAGAAAGTTCCAGGGAGTGTTGATTACATGGGGAGAAGTGAAATAAGAGAAAACAACATGGGAGAGGAAGAGAGCAGTTGTTTTCCATGGGGAAATGAAGGCTGAAGACCTGCTTGTTTCAGGAGAGGTGAAAAAGTAACTAGACTCCAGAGAGTGCAAGTTAAGATGTTGACATCCTCCCAATCTTCAGTCAAAGGATTGTTAAGGGTTTTTAGTGAATTAAATCTTGGTGACAGGTTTAACTTTCATTTTCCTATGTTTAATTGCTTGTCAGATGATGCTCCCTGGGCATGTTTTTTTGATAAAGAGGAGGTAGTTAAGCCAAAAAGATATGCACATGAAACTGGTATGAGGTAGGTTGCAGAACTAGTGTTGGCTTATAAATAAGCTTTTAAGAGTTAAGGATCAAGCGAAGCGTCCACATTGGCGTTGGGTAGCGATTTACGTACAAGCATTCCCCTGGTCGACACTTTGCTCAAACAAGGTTCCAGACCCTATACAGACAATACTGGCCATCACATGATTGATGGATAAAGGATGGATAAAGAAGTAAGTTGAGCCTGTTTGTCTCTGTATAAGCCACCACTGCAGAAACATTATGAAGATTTACAGTGCAGGGTATTATACAATGTTTTAGCTACAAGCCCTTTTCTTTCTGTGATTCAGCATGGAGCTTCTGGTTAAGGAAAGCTTTATTTAGTAATTGTGAAACTATTTTCATTGTAACTTACAGTACATTGTTCCAGACAGCAACCTCTGTTTAGTTTCTTAAAAGATTTGTTCATACTGTAGATCTGAAGATCCAGTTGTATTTAATGCTTTTACACTTGGTTAAAATTCTGACAACAGACATATGTGTTAGGTACTATACAAATGGCTAATTTTCTTCAGGCTAAAGTTATTGTATTAAAGAATTATAAGAATCAGGAAAGGAAGGTTATGAGGGGCCATGTTGTAGGGATTGGCATTTTCTTACATGAGGGTAGAATTCTCTTGTTAAAAATAATAAATCAAATCAAAATGTTTGGGAGAAACGGGGGCATGGAGGAGATGGCGTTCTTAGTACAGGATTGGGGTTTGTATATTAATTTTTAAACATACTTTTTTTGAGGGGAGTTATAAAAATAAAAATGACTAATGTCAAGAATAGTATTTAAATAGAATGTGTTTTAATGTTTGGGGTCTATTATGATTCCAAGACCTTAAACACTTTAAAAAATAATTTATATTTAAATAAATAGGACAGGGTACTGTGTGGATTGTGGATTACGGACTGTTTTATGTTGCAGGTTGCTTATATTATTAAAACAAATGGAAGGTCATTGGACGGGCAGCACAGTGGTGCAGTGATAAGCATTTCTGGCTTGCAACTCTGGGACCCTGGGTTTAATTCCAAACCAGGAGTGATCTATGTGGAGTTTGTCTGTTTTCCATGTTTTTTGTGTGGGTTCCCTCTGCTGATTTCTTCCTATAGTCCAAAGACATATTGGTACAGTAGGTTGGCTTCTGGGAAAATTGGCCCTGTTGTCAGTGTACGAGTGTGTGTCTGTATTCGTGTTTTTCAACCCCACTAGTGTCCCATCCAAAGTGTACCCTGTCTATAACCTGTTGCTTGCCAAGTTCTGGCTCCCTCGCTATCCTGAATTGGATGAAGCTGTTAGAAAATAAAAGGATACTTTACTTCTGGCCAGATAATGTCTTAATGTTGTCATTTTCATTGACAATTTGTTCTCAATTAAGTTATCTAGTGGAATAAATATCTTTTGTCTCTCCTCAATATAGATTGTCAAAATATAATATTTCTATATATACATTTGCCAAAAAGAAATGTTTTATTAACACATTGGTGTATGATGGGTCCTTGTATAAGAGGATTGCTCAATGAAGCTCAGTTTACATCTTGTCCATTTTGTACTAGGAGAAAAGTTTTTTGCAAACATTATTCTAACTACTCCTGTTCCTAAAAAAACAGAGAATACATCTAAATCATCTATTATTTAAAATATACAGTCTATTTATTAAATAAAAAAGACAATATATAGAGTATGAACCCTTATCACAGGTTTACATGGAACAAAATATAAAAAAGAACAACTAATGATACTCACACTTCACAACATGCAGAATGAAGAGAGAGTGCTATTACTAATATCTTTGATAAAGTTTTAAACATTTAAACCAAAGCACATCAAATTCTCCATTGCACGAGTGGACAAATAATTTGTTACCACTAGAGGCAGTTAAAACTGGTACTCACATTGAGCGCAGAGAGGTAAGCTGCTGGAATGTAGCTGTACTAATCTCTTTGATTTGATTGTGCTGGAGACCTCTGAAAATTAAGCAATGAGACAAAAAAACACTGTATTTCAAATAATTTTTAGAAATACTAACAGTAGTAAGATTTTGGTATGATATGAACATTTTTGTGATAATATTTTTTTAGGAAAAACAATGTTGAACCTCTATTGGTTTTTAAGTCAGATTTTTTAAATAGTATGTACAAATTCTTAATAAAACAAAAGACATTGAGACATACAGTATTGAAGGGAATCTAAGAATTATAAGACTGGCCCAATGGTTAGCAATGCTGCCTTTCAGTTTTGCGGAACAGGGCCCAGTTCTGCACACAGCAATGGCTGCATAGTGCTATTGCTTTTCACCTGATTGTAAATGTATTACATTTTAAATTATGAAACATGGTCACGCACCCAGCCAAGACACAAAAAAGGAGATTAAATATTCCCATAATGTGTGACAGTTAATTTTGTTGATCTGTTTTCAAATATTGTGATTACTGAAAATGTGAGAGAAGGAATAATTCTGCAATTTCCCTCACGGGATCAATAAACTATCTATCTTTAATAGTAACCTTGCTACAGTATATGATGTGTTTTCTATCATTGCGTGTACTAGAAGATAAGAATTGCTAAAGCTGATGGAGATTCAAGTTGGATGGTGAAATACAGACTATATACTTACAACACTGTTATCTGTTTTCATTTAAAGTTCTTTTGTGCATATTATTTCATGAGCACTGAAGCTTTCATTGACATTTTTTAGCTGTTTTTTAGCTTTAATGATTATTCAACAGTTGCTCATTACTTTTGGCAAGGCAAGGTCCATGTGATCAGACATCTGGGATAAGGATGACAACTCTGTTTTCCATGTTTGAGTCCCTGCCTGCACACAGAAACCTTGTATATCAGGTGGAATTATACCTCTGGGTTAAGAACATAAGCAATGTTGCAAATGAAGGGAGGCCACGGGCCATCTAGGATGTTTGGTAGTTTTTATTTAATTCATCCAAGGATCACATCCAGCCACGTCTTGAAATAAACGATGATATCGACTTTAATAAGGCTGAGTAGCTTGTTCCATGCTACCACAACCCTTTAGGTAAAGAAGTGCCCTGTATTCACTCTTTTGAATGCACTTTCATGTAGTTTCCACTTGTGTCCTCTGGTTCATGTCTGTTAATTCTGAAGAAGTCCTACAGTGACACAATAAAAAACTGATCTGTTCTAAAAGATAGATTTGAGATGGATTCTGCTGCTGAAAAAGTTGAGAGCAGACTGGTCTCAACTCTGACTGCAACTGCAGTGAAGATGCTTGGGGGTTTAGTGACCTGGAGTTTTCTTTGAAAAGGTGAAAGAACAAGGGAGCGACAGGGAGCTGTGCAGCTGAGATCAACATTTGCGAGAATGAGTGTCAAATGGAATCACACAAAATGAAACATATATGGAGCACTGTGTGCCAAGAATTGACACTTCATAATAAAAAAAGACATGGTCTTATTGATGACCTTTGTCAGCAAAAAAGTCCATACATTTTCAATACTGGAAAAAAGTACCTTCCACCCAGCTTTTTTATACATACAGTAGGTTTAGGTGAAGCTGAACGTATTGGATTTTCCTCATATTTGAACAATAAAAGTCCATTTTCTGAGTTTATTCATCATGCCACTGGTTTTGGAACAGCACAGAGACATGTTGGTTTAAGCTACAAGCTTTAAGCTTGAGAGACAATAAATTATTTTTATTTACTTTTATTTTCCTGTGTTTTAAGTGGTCAAAGCCAATACTTAAGTAGAAATTTTCACTTAAGTACAGGTGATGTAAAATGAATAAAAAAGCAATATGTAATAACTGTAATTAAATAATAAGAAAGCACATTGTCAAAGAAACTGATTATATAAAAACAATCTGAGGGCAGATCTACAGTGCCTTGCGAAAGTATTCGGCCCCTTTGAACTTTTCAACCTTTTGCCACATTTCAGGCTTCAAACATAAAGATATAAATTTTTTATTTTATGTGAAGAATCACCAACAAGTGGGACACAATTGTGAAGTGGAACGAAATCTATTGGAGTTTTGAAACTTTTTTAACTAATAAAAAAATGAAAAGTGGGGCGTGCAAAATTATTCGGCCCCTTTACTTTCAGTGCAGCAAACTCACTCCAGAAGTTCAGCGAGGATCTCTGAATGATCCAATGTTGTCCTAAATGACTGATGGTGATAAATAGAATCCACCTGTGTGTAATCAAGTCTCTGTATAAATGCACCTGCTCTGTGATAGTCTCAAGGTTCTGTTGAAAGCGCAGAGAGCATCATGAAGACCAAGGAACACACCAGGCAGGTCCGTAATACTGTTGTGGAGAAGTTTAAAGCCGGATTTGGATACAAAAAGATTTCCCAAGCTTCAAACATCCCAAGGAGCACTGTGCAAGCGATCATCTTGAAATGGAAGGAGTATCAGACCACTGCAAATCTACCAAGACCTGGCCGTCCCTCTAAACTTTCAGCTCAGACAAGGAGAAGACTGATCAGAGATGCAGCCAAGAGGCCCATGATCACTCCGGATGAACTGCAGAGAACTACAGCTGAGGTGGGAGAGTCTGTCCATAGGACAACAATCAGTCTTACACTGCACAAATCTGGCCTTTATGGAAGAGTGGCAAGAAGAAAGCCATTTCTCAAAGATATCCATAAAAAGTCTCGTCTAAAGTTTGCCACAAGCCACCTGGGAGACACCCCGAACATGTGGAAGAAGGTGCTCTGGTCAGATGAAACCAAAATCGAACTTTTTGGCCACAATGCGAAATCGATATGTTTGGCGTAAAAGCAACACAGCTCATCACCCTCAACACACCATCCCCACTGTCAAACATGGTGGTGGCAGCATCATGGTTTGGGCCTGCTTTTCTTCAGCAGGGACAGGGAAGATGGTTAAAATTGAGGGGAAGATGGATGCAGCCAAATACAGGACCATTCTGGATGAAAACCTGTTGGAGTCTGCAAAAGACCTGAAACTGGGACGGAGATTTATCTTCCAACAAGACAATGATCCCAAACATACAGCAAAATGTAGAAAAAATGGTTCACAAATAAACGTATCCAGGTGTTTGAATGGCCAAGTCAAAGTCCAGACCTGAATCCAATCGAGAATCTTTGGAAAGAGCTGAAAACTGCTGTTCACAAACGCTCTCCATCCAACCTCACTGAGCTCGAGCTGTTTTGCAAGGAAGAATGGGCAAGAATTTCAGTCTCTCGATGTGCAAAACTGATAGAGACATACCCCAAGCGACTTGCAGCTGTAATCGCAGCAAAAAGTGGCTCTACAAAGTATTAACGCAAGGGGGCCGAATAATTTTGCACGCCCCACTTTTCATTTTTTTATTAGTTAAAAAAGTTTCAAAAATCCAATAGATTTCGTTCCACTTCACAATTGTGTCCCACTTGTTGGTGATTCTTCACATAAAATAAAAAAATTATATCTTTATGTTTGAAGCCTGAAATGTGGCAAAAGGTTGAAAAGTTCAAGGGGGCCGAATACTTTCGCAAGGCACTGTATCTGCATAGCACACAAATTTGCCATATTAACCTAATGAAAAAAGCACCCCATCTGTTCTTTTAATTTAACTTGATCATGTAGATATATGATGATTTTCTGACACTATTAATTATTAAGGTTTTGTTTACACACAGTGGAAATGTAAACAGTGCTACTACAGGTTTTTGATTAGTTCAACAGTTGAACCATCCTTCCATTTTCAAATCAGTGGTACCTTGCTCCATGATTAGTCGTACGCATCCTAATCTCAACTTTAAAAGCAATGAGTCAGTGTTCTTAACTGAAAATAGAATAGCTGATCTATTGAACAAAATATTTTCAATCAGGTGTGAAAATATGCCTCAAGCTAACAAAAGACAATATTCCAAATTAATTATATTAGCAGAACTGGGACATAAATGTTACAGGTACTTTAGATAAACAAATCTTGCAGGCCTAATGGAATTCTACCAATTGTACTTAATTGTACTTAAGAAACAAAAAAATGTATTTTTAGACCCTTAATGAAACAGTCAAACATAATTGAGATAATATCCATTGACAAGAAACTTGCTAATGTAGCACTAATATAGCATCCCTAAAAAGGTTGATAAAACCGATTAATTATTAGGAACAAGTAAAGACTTATTACATGCTGAAAAGAGAATAAAAAACAACAACATTTTGACTATGGAGCCTTCTTCAGGTGTGAATAAGTAATTATTATCTTATATCTTATCTTATCAGAGCATCATTGGTTTGGCAAAAGAATTCTAAGGACAGTCAGTATGAAAAGGTACATCACTAATGAATGGGGATATGATAGGGTTTCCCATCCATAAGACTTTTGATAGTAATATTGATAAAAGTATTATTAATTTATTAGTTACTAAAAAGATAAATTCTCAAATTATAGGCTGTATCCATTCAGGAAAATCCACATTTAGACTGAAATCTGATTAATAGGATCTGCGTTAGCACCACAGTATTTCATGATTTATATAAATGATTTAGATTCTGTTATTTATCAAACTATTGAATTCTGTAGATGACACCAAAACAGAAGGAAACATTATAGAAGATACAAATTTTCAAACCGACTAATACATCATTCTAAAATAAATGACCAGGCAAACACTTGGCAGATTATAGGTAGACAAGTGCATTGTGCTAGCTGCAGGAAGGAGAAAAAAAGTTTTAAATATAAGAAGGAAAATGGAAAACCTGGGACTTTGGCTTTTATGTTGAAACATTTTTACATCTTCTAGACAATGAACGGAAGCAATCAAAAAACAAAGTAAATGATAAAATCCACATTTCAATTATATTGTACTGATGTTATGTTCAAATTGCATAGAGTTCCTGGTCCTACACTGACAATCTAAAGAACTGCATTTTAGTTTTAAAATAAAAGATGGGACCTGATTCAAGTACGCACAATTCTCAAAGGCACTGATAAAGTTAACACAATGGACTTCAATGGACTCAACAGTAAAACAC